TCCTGTGACCTCCGATCACATCTGGAATCATGCCCGATCTACTCAATATACCAATAGAGAACGGGTTTTCATCAATCGAAAAGAGTACAAAACGAAGCGCCAAAGGACCAAAAGAAACCCATCTCACTTGGACAACTCAGCCAAAGGAGTCCAACCACGGGTGCTGTGGGCTTCGCCCCACCACCACACCACGCGATGACAGCAGCTTTAGCTGAAACCCCCGTGAAGTAAAGTTTGCCCTTTCACTACCCCCAGCCCAAGCATCTTCAGGCCACACCGCACGCCTGGCATCCGAATTGACCCTCATCCTCAGAGAAGCACTGCGTCTCTTTGCGTCGTGTGGCAAGTTCACTCGGACTTCCAAATGGACCGTTTTCGGACGTCCAAAGCACAGCCCCACCACTGATGCCGAAGGTATCCGAAGTTCATCGAGTCGCACCTTGGAGTCTCAGAGCCTTTGGCACATGAGACTAAAAGAATACCCCTGGTGTTTGAGGCCAACATGGAACCGGGCGAACGGCATGGGCCATGGGACCAGACCGGAAGACGATGTTTCCGTGGAAGACTCACGTGAACCGGTGGCCACTCACTGCTCCAGACATCACCCCGGTGCGGTGCAGTTGTTGCTGTCCCCAGAAGAGTTGGTTCTGATGTCCGTGGCACTATCCCATAGGTATTCCACTAGGGTCCCATAAGTAGTAGGGGCTTGTCAGAGCGTGCCTGGCATGCCGCTGGGACCCTCTGGTGGTACCAGCATAAGGTTTCTTAAGGTCTCTTAACCTCTGAAAATGATGCGGCTTTCGCGGCGCAAACGCGCTGAGACGAACGAGAAATTGGTTTTTTTCTCCTTGACTTGGAAGCATCCCATGGCTGTGGGAATCAAATCACGGCTGTGGGTCGTTGACCACCCCACTGTGAAGAAGACCAGATGTCAAAGTTTCCATGGTTTGGTGGAAGAGGTTCCAGGACTCACAGCCATATCCGAAGCAAAACTGACTCTTCCACTCCCGGTCCCATGGAACTTATTTGACGCTCCACGGAACCGCCCACGGCCACTGTGACAGCCACCCGCGACGAGCAAAAATAGAAACAAAGCTCCCACCACCACCACCACCACCACCCACCACCCACCACCCACCACCC